TGACGTTGCATTAAAATTTTTAAAGATTGCCGGTGGCAGGGGAGCAAGAAAACGGATGGGAGTTCAACGGAGGAGAAGTGAAAAAATTAAAAAAAATAGAATACGGTTACATCTAGCGAGTTCAACAGTAAAAGAGTGAGACCTAATTGTCAATCGAGTAGAACGCTTAAATTCATTTACTCGACTCACTAAGGAGAACATCTCACCAGGAAAAAAATACCATGAAAATATTTATAGAAAAGAAAGAGGGACAGTAGAACGTGACTGAAATCGAAATGCCAGAATCGATAATATTACAGACACTTTTTTGAATTATATTAAGAATCTTGATATATATATATTTTTTTTTCTTTATATATATATAAATATATATATATATATATATATATATATATATATATATATATAGGCACAATGAACTAGTTTATATATATATATATATATATATATATATATATATATATATATATATATATATATACAATGAACTAGTTTTTAAATGCCGGCACAAAAACAGCCTAAACCTAAGCAAGTACACTAAGAAATAATCATATAGGAACAGCAATTTTGAATGTTTTATATTCCCTTTGTTTTTAGAAATATTACTATGCACACGTGAATGCTAACACATGACTATATGTATACAACTATGATAATGTATTTGCACACTGAGACACCTGTTGATATGTACATGTATATGTTTTTATACGGAAAAAGAAGCATACCAGTTTTGTTTTTTATGCGTGTGGAGATGTACAATTAGATAGGTACTTATATGTTTTGCCATAAATATGAAAGATCGGGTAATATTAAATGTGTAAAGATATAGATAATGTAATTAAATACTGAGATAGTCTTCGAACGCAGGCATAAGTGGATGCATGGGTGGACATGATGATAGGGACAAATACGTGGGTAGATATATGTAAGTGCAAATCAACGCATATGTGGCTATGTAGATACTCTGCATATTGTGTATGCATATGCATATGTTTGTGTATATATATGTATGTATGCATATATGGGTGTGTGTATGTATGTGTATATGTGTATACGTATGGATGTGTAAATATATATATGTGCGTATGAATATATATGGATATGCAGATGTCCTTGTGTGTATATGTATATATGTAAGTATAAGTATATATGGAGATAGGTATGGAGACATGTGGATGTGCGTTTTCTCTGCAGGTGTATATGTGTAAAGATGGAAATATACATATATCGTTTCGTGTGAATGTGTATGCAGGTGTATATAGGAACTCATAGGCATATAAGAAGATATAGGTATGTGGTTACAAATAGGGGTTTAAGACATGTGTAGATAAGAAATCGTAAAAGAAGGGCCTAATTTTCTGCTAGTGACATCTCTTCCAAATTTCTCCTCTAATATTCTCCAATTGGAAGTGAATTTTAAATAGCATGAAGGGAAAGTTTAGATTGGTATTTTAATTGAGATTGAAAGATACTACCCCAGTGTGGAGAATAAAATTATTTAAATGGGAATAACTATTGATAATTGGGTACATAAAAACAACCACGAGTTTACTTAATGAACAAAAGTCAAAAACAATCACGAGTTTACTTAATGAACAAAAATCAAACGAATAAATGTCAACCTAACAAGCTATAAGATAAAAGTTTTAGTGGAAAAAAAAAAAAAAAAAAAATGACTAAATATAAATTGGATTGCTCTTTCAATGTTCTGTCTATGGATTTTTCGAATCGACTGTTTCATAGAAAATACCCAAAACTCCACCGAATTTCAAATTAATTCCTTCGTAGATTGTTTTAACATTTATCAAACCTTAACCTCCCAAATATGCACGTTAAAGTAACGCGAACTGACAACGTCCAAGAATTTGAATGAAACCTGTCGTGTAATTTATTGGGGTTGTTGTAACGTCTTCCTTTAATGTAGTTCTTATCCTTCACCCCTTAGCCACCTTTATCTAGAAACGAGACGCGTTAAATTTTAGCAACATCCAGCCGACACACTGGGGTTAAAAATAGGAAACTAAAATGATACATATGACACACTCATATCCTCTCTCCCACCTCACTTCCTCACTTCGTTAACTTTGCGTATACTTGATGAGGTCCGTCAAAAACGTGTGAATTTCTTTTCATTTTTCATTTCAGCTTTTGGAAGTAAAGTCTGATGATCCAGAACCCTGTTAAAGGGGTTATGGTGAAATAACTTATTACATGGAATCTTAACGTGGTCTGTCTTTTATTCAAACATATATATATATATATATATATATATATATATATATATATATATATATATATATAAGTGAACATTGAAGTCAACACTCAGAGACGATAGGCTGTTTCATGCTGGACGCAATCGTCAGTCAATGTTTCTATATATATATATATATATATATATATATATATATATATATATATATATATATATATATATATATAGTTTTCAAATGTACACAGTGCTTGCTCGGTTTACTATCACTGATGTCTCGAGGCTGCGTTTGTAAAATTTCACCAGCCGAGCCTGTGTAGACAAAAGGAAAATTTATACGCTCCTTACGGTTGTTGGATCGACACCGAGTGTCTATTTTCCATTTTATACTCTCGTGGAAATTGGTATGCCTTTTTTTTTTTTAATTATTTACAATTAAAAAAAAATATATTTTATTTTAATCACGTTACAACTTTCCCTCCTCTTTCGTTATTATAGTTGTGTCCTGGATTATTTTAAAACTTGCCAAATTTCACCTTTGAAAAACTGTTGTTTGATGTTGCCTTAGGTGTAAAATGGCGTCCATTTTGTTCAAATCTGTGTTTTATTTCTGTGTGTATAAATCTCAAGTATTTAAGTAAATGTTCTGTTTATAATAAACAGTATTAAATAACATTTACCGGCCTGAAGAAAAAATATAATATATGAAATATATGTTATAAAAAAGAACGTTAAACATAAAAATGTCTTTAATAAATAAATTGTCGGACTTTGTCCATTTCTTAATATATGACGTCATTTGTTTACATTTGATACGCCATGAGCAGTTATGAATGTACGAGATTCATGGAAGATTGAAGTTTATAAGCAGTAAATTCAACCTTGCCAACCGAACGATCCTTTGTGGCCGAGAGGTTAGGCACGTCAGAGTAAAAGACTGTTCCGTATAGGATGCAGGTTCGAATCCTGTCAAAGGACGAATATTTTCTATGAAAATTTCTCGGACATTTAGGCCGGTATACATATATATATATATATATATATATTGTTACGGTTTTTTGTGTATATATATGTAACTAGTGAGCGAGTCAAAATGACAATTCCCTTTATAGTCTACCAATAGAAGGTTGACCAATCAGAAGCCGCACAACACTGTATCCGTCGTGTATAAAGGCGGCCATCTTTGTTTTCCCACCGGAAGTACCAGAGGCAACTTGTCCTGCGAACATGAAAGACGGAAGAACTACGCTCTGCTACTTTGCTGCGATATCCACTGCGAACCTGCACTACGCTTTCCTACTGTCTCCAAAATATTCACTGCCAACCTCTGGATTCTATACTCGAAGACGACCGTCATGAAAATGTCTAACATATATATATATATATATATATATATATATATATATATATATATATGCATAGATATAGGTGTGTATGTGTGTGTGTTTGTGTGTGTGTGTGTGTGTGTGTGCGCGCATACACAGACACACACGCACAACACACCCCACCGAGTGAGTTGAAAGTTCGCTTTCCGACAGTAAATATAGAAAATATGCGTCCTCCGACAGGAATCGAACCTGTATCCTATACAGAACCATCATATATGTAGGCTTTTCTATGACAATTTCTCGGATATTCAGGCAGGTAAATGTTGTTAATACTGTTTATTATAAACAGAGCATTTACTTAAATATTTGTATCTATAAAAAGAATGTATAAACATAAAAAATGTCTTAAAAATAATTGTCGGACTTTTTCCATTTCATAATGTATGATATATATATATATATATTGAACAATAAAAAAATATTAAAAAATTAAAATCTTCAGACACACTGGGTTGTAGATTAATATTCTTTCGTTTTTTTTATTATTATTTCGTAGATAGATAGATATACGCTCTATCTCGGATATTAAGCACTTTATCCCATAAATATAGCATACTTTAAAATTATATTTCTTCATATATATATATATATGTATATATATATATATATATATATATATATATATATATATATATATGAAGGGCGTATGTAAATGGGATGAAGATAGACACACGCATGGACACACGCGCACACACACACACAAACACACACACACACACACACATATATATATATATATATATATATATATATATATACACCTAGTGAGCCAGAAAAACCTACCTAGGTTTCACCTAAACGGATCGTCAGGAAAAGTAAGGCTCTGCTCTACGGTTGTATTGAGCTCTTTTTGTTAGTTAGTTGTTTACTCGTATCAGGGTTTTTCTTTGGGCTTCAGACCTGCATCTGTGCGATTTTTTTGTCGGCAGAAGTTCATGTTTGTAGCTCTTTCTTTTTTAAAACCTTTTTTTCCTCGAGATTGATTTGATTATTAGCAAATCAAAAATTCGAGATTTTTCGAAACGAGTCTAGTTATCTTATATATATATATATATATATATATATATATATATATATATATATATATGTTCGTGAAATCAAAGAAAGAGATTCAGTCTGCCTACATATCCTTGTTTGTATATGCAACTTCGGTTTGTGGGTCAGAGGTACGTTGGTGGGGCTTCAAGTCTAAGTCTGTTGTTTGTGGTCTATCTGGCCATATTGTCGGCTGGTTGAACCAAGCAAGTGTGTAGGCTTTTTTTTTTTTTGTTATCGGGCCAAGCAAACATTGAAGAATCAAAGTACATATGTACTGTAGATTCAGCTGAGATAGATAAGAATTGGCGAGAATTAATTGGCGCTTTTTAATCTTTCCTCCTCCTCAAATATTCTTATTGCTTTAAATGGCTCTCTGTTTTTCTCTCTTTTCAATATTTTCTTTCCTTTTTCGTTGTCTCTGCAGCATTTTTTCTACTTTTATTCCAAGTCCCTTTTACTATTGTTATCTCTTTCTAATATTTTCTCTTTCTTCTATTCTCTCTGTAACGTCTCTTTCTTTCTTTCATTCGGACATTATACATTTTTTCATCGCTTCATTCATCTTTCTTTCATTCTCTTCTTCATTGTCTCTTTCCTATTTTCTGTATTCTTTCATTCTGTCACTCTTTCAATTTCTCTTTCATTTCCCTCTTTCTGCTTTTCTCTTTCTTTCATTCCCTTCTTCATCGTCTCTTTCATATTTTCTGTATTCTTTCATTCTGTCACTCTTTCAATTTCTCTTTCATTTCCCTCTTTCCACTTTTCTCTTTATTTCATTCTCTTCTCCATTGTCTCTTTACTATTTTCTTTATTCTTTCATTCTGTCACTCTTTCAATCTCTCTTTCATTTCCCTCTTTCCACTTTTCTCTTTCTTTCATTCTCTTCTCCATTGTCTCTTTACTATTTTCTGCATTCTTTCTTTATGCCACTCTTTCAATTTCTCTTTTATTGTCTTACAATCTCTTTTTCTAAAACTTCTTACAATCTGTTGTAGAGTAGAACACAGCTTACTTCTTTGTCTTCCCTACTCCTGTGATAATCGACTGCTCGTACTTGTAAGTATTCCAAGTAGCCACATTAGAGTAGGATTTTGAGGAGTAGATTTTTGGTGTTTAGTACTAACGTTATTTTGTTTAGTTGCTTGTACATAGAATTGCAACCAGTGTAAATAATAATTGAGATTTGATATTTTAAAAATTGTTTTTTTTTATCCGCTGCCCCGCACAGACAAATGGCACATATGGAGACTAGATATGAGTTAATAGCCATCTTGAGGTACACAGCTGTGTAAATTTATTGACACAATGTTTTAGTTTTACTTTCTTTCACCATACAGTCAGTTTTAGTCCCACTGGAGTGATAGGGTTTAATTGCTTTCTATTCTTTACTCAGATTAGGTCATTTGCAGTGGTGTGCAGTAATACGAATCTACTTTCGGGGTATATGATGAAATTTGTTTGACGTTTATCAGGGCCAGACACTATTGTCTCGACTGTCGATTAGTTGTCGTACGGCCATTGTCTGCGATGTACTTTACTCCAAGGAAGCGTACGAAAATTGTAATGCTGCACGATCATACTAACAAGCTTTACCAGTGAGAAAATCAAAGTACTACAGACTGGCCCGGAAACTCTTTTGATTTAAATCCAGTCAAGAATCTGTGGCCAATCTGTAAGAAACGACTTCGTGAATGGACATACGAAGCAGTAACATGTGTACTGAGTCATGTTTCATTGAAAAAAAATGAAATAATAACGGAATTATTCGTTTTGCTGCAATTAATTTGCACAAGGGTGCATTATTATGGTTGTAGTAAGAAAGGTAAGTAAGAATTTGGTGTTTTGATGTAAGAAATATTGTATAGTTTGAGTCAGTGATTGTGGCTAGCTAGCTAAGTATAATATAAAACAGATTGATAACCAACCACCCTACCTCTTTTGGCTTTGTGCCACATTTTCTGTTTTATTTCGAAAATAAATATTGCTTTCCTCTTAGGTAGCGTGACCACATGAAATTGAAGGGTACCACTAGAGTGGCAATTAGGTCTCATTGCTCTACTGTCGAATTAGCGAGATGTAATCATAAATTCTATTACAGTAATTTTTTTTTTCTCGCATATGAAGCTCTCTTCCGGGTTATTGCTTTCCTGCCACATACGATCTTCAAAAATGTATGTTCAACATCAACCGAAATCTTCTGTCTTCCTGAAATCTGTTCTTTTATTGTCCTTTCTCCTCACTAACGTCTTCTCATTTTCTTCCACTCTTCTAAAACCCTTTGTGTCTTAGTGGCATTATGAACTTTACTCCGGCCCCGCACCGATAAATTGTACATATGGGGACTAGTTAGAACTTCATAGAGAGTTTGAGGTATTATGGTGATTGTAAGTAAGAATTTGGTGTTTTGGTGTAAGGAATATTGTATAGTTTGAGTTAGTGACTGTGTCTAGCTAGCTAAGTTTAATATAAGACAAAATGATAACCAGCCTTTCCCATGCCTCTTATTGGCCTTGTGCCACATTTTCTGTTTTATTTCAGGAAAAAATATTATTTGGGGAGTAGTTGATTTACTCAAGTTTTTTTTCGTTCTATGCATCTCTATCTATAAAAAGCAGGATGTGTTTGTGTGGGTAACGAATGCACGGCCACAGTTTTCGATGGATTTGCACCAAAATTTACATGCACATGCTCCATGTTAGCGGGAAGGCCAAGACTGACTTTGCATTTCCCAACTCCCATCGATAGTGGAAATAATCGATTTTTTCATGCTTCAATGGTAGTTTTCATGTAGTTTGCGGCCATTTTGTACTGGCCAGAGTGAGAGCCAATAGCTGGTTGCCACGAATAGGCAGGAAAATTCTATTGGCTAGCGTGAGAGCCAACAGCTGACTGACACAAATGTTAACTAGCATGCAAAACAATTCGATAACTGCATTCATCACAAGTGGGAAAAATTTAAATCTGCATTGCACTTTACTCCAATTGGCACATTCGCTTGCTTAAACTCAACATTGATTCTGATTCCGCAGAACTTGGTTGGATGTGAAAAAGTATTTGTTGTTAACATTCTTTTTTTCATTCGGTTTTTCCAGTTAAGAGTCCTTTTTTTAAAGCTGATCGTTTTGTGTTCATTTTGTTTAGTTCTTTTTTGGTAACGGATTTAATGTTTAGTATAGAGCTTAGAAAAACTTCGCAGTGTGAGATAGGAAAGAAGTAAGGCATGTAGCAACATCAGCACGGCAAATGACGCTCCTCTAAAGGCAAGGAAGGGCAAAAATATTTAAAGTCAAGTGATAGCGATTGTTGTATGAGTCGTACGATCTTTGAATCAAGCACAGGCAACGCCGGGCCATGCTGCTAGTGAGTAATAAGACACTTCTTTGTTTTCCCTATCTAGTCTTCTGTTACTTCTATACTCTCTATAACTATGGCCTTACTAATCCCTGGTTACTCTAAACAAAGACAACATTACAGCACAAGCTAAAAAAATATTTTCTGGCTTTAAATAACCCGCAAAGGGTTTATAACTCGTAGAAAACGAATTAATCATGTTAGCAATGTTTTATTTTACTTATGAGAAGTCCCGTGAGTGTCAAAATCTCTTAGCACCTCTTCCTCGTTATGCGTCCAAGAAATTTAGTCTCTCTCTTTTGGATTATGAGTATATTGTCCATTTTCCATAAGTTAGGCTTTACCAATTCTTCTTCATTATGCCGGGTTTCTTCAGGACATTGACAATAATGGTTTCGCAGAATTTCCTGCTCTTTATAGCGCTTCATACATTTCCTTTTTTTTCTCATCTCTCCTAAGCCTGACTCCACTGACCATTTAGAGTGGTTAGGCTTTGTTTTCCTCTGCCACTCTTGCCTTCAATCTGTCTTGTGGGTATCAAAATTTCCAAGCCTTCTTTCCTCATTATGAGTCCTAAAATTTCAACTGTCTCTGATATTAAGTATGTGCCCTTTCTGTTTTCATTTCCTCGAAAACTTTGTCGTTGCTCACATATTCTCTCACTGGTATTCTCAGCATCCTTCTGTAGATAGATCAACATTTGCGCTTTTTTTTACAGTACGTTTCGCCATGTACAAGGCTCGGGGCCACTCGAGGTAGTGTTACTTTAAGGGGTAGTTTATACGGACAGGAGGAAATGATAACGGTTAACTTTAAACTTGAACTGGTTAAGATTGTAGTGATCGGGGGAACATCCTCTTGGGAGTCTGTTCCACAGGGCAGAGGTTCGTGGGAAGAAGCTGTTCCGTTGGACTTCCTGGCTTCAACTCCCTTCTTCATCTGTGAGGAGATTGCCCAGCATTCTTTGTTTTATAGAAGGGTTGGTATTACATAACAGTTCAGTTTTTTTTTCTTTGTTTCTATCAGAGGTACTTTGAATTAAGTTCAGTAGTCTTGTTTGGGCTAGCCTCTTCATTCTTCTTGTTTTATCATAGCCCTTTGGCCGATGCGTTCTTCGGTCTTTTTATTTGGGGAGGAGAAAAAAATCCTGAGGGGCGAGATTAAATATCCGATGCAGAAAGAATAGAACGACCAAATGAAGTAAGAAAAGAGAGAAAAACAAACGCAGAGAAGGAAAGGGTTGCGAAATAGAGGGAAACAGAGAGAAGGAAAACGTTAAGAAAAAAACGGATATATATATATATATATATATATATATATATATATATAGAGAGAGAGAGAGAGAGAGAGAGAGAGAGAGAAAAGGAGACGGATAAAGAGAGAGTAACAGAATCGTAATAGAAGAGAAAGAGAGTCAAAGAAAGGAAATGCGTAAAAAGAGAGGATGATAGAAACTGTGAGTGAGTGCATGTGTTTGAGTGAGCGAGAGAAAGAGGGGATGAAGTGAGGAATGAAGGGATAGGGAGAGGGAAGGGGAGAGAGGAGAAAGAGAGGGTTGAGCTACGTCGAGATACAGTCTCGACGTCTGTCGAACTCTCTGCTTTGGCAGAGAGGAACCCGGGCGAAGCTTTGCCGAAGGGCAAGGTTTCGTCCGGGGAGGTAGACAGGCCCTGAACCCGTCTAGGCGGGTTCAATGGGTATATCTTTGGCCGAGGCTACGGGCTCGGAGATACCCACTTTAAATTCGGCCTTGTGCCACATATATTCCTCGTGGGGGGATTGTTAAATATCGAGAGGAGAGAGAGGGGATAGAGTTAAGAGAGAGAGGAGAGTGAGGAGAGAGAGAGAGAGGGAAGTAAGAGATGGAAGGAGAGGGAGAGAGAAAAGAGAGGGGATAGAGGTAAGAGAGAGGGAGAGAGTTGAGAGTGAGAGGATAGTGAGGAGAGAGAGAGGGAAGTAAGAGATGGAGGGAGAGGGAGAGAGGGGAGAGAGAGGGGAGGAGGTAAGAGAGAGGGAGAGAGTTGAGAAAGAGGAGAGGAGGAGGAGAGAGAGGGGGCAAGAGATGGAGGGAGAGGAGAGAGGAAGAGAGGGGTATAGAGGGTAAGAGAGGGAGAGATTTGAGAGAGAGGAGGAGGGAGAGAGAGAGGGAGGAGATGGAGGGAGAGGGAGAGAGGGAAGAGGGGTATAGAGGTAGGAGAGAGGGGATAGAGTTGAGAGAGAGAGGAGAGTGAGGAGAGAGAGAGGGAAACAAGAGATGGAGGGAGAGGGAGAGAGGGAAGAGAGAAGGGGATAGAGGTATGAGAGAGGGGATAGAGATGAGAGAGAGAGGAGAGTGAGGAGAGAGAGAGGGAAGTAAGAGATGAAGGGAGAGGGAATTTAGAGGGGGATAGAGGTAAGAGAGAGGGAGAGAGTTGAGAGAGAGGAGAGTGAGGAGAGAGAGAGGGAAGTAAGAGATGGAGAGAGAGGGTGAGAGGGAAGAGAGAGGGGGATAGAGGTAAGAGAGAGGGGGATAGAGGTAAGAGAGAGGGAGAGAGTTGAGAGAGAGGAGAGAGAGGGGGGAGAGAGAGAGGGTGGAAAATAGGTCAAATAAAGAGAGGGTTGAGAAAATCGAAAGAAAATGAGAGGGTGTTTGAAAATGGAAGAGAGAATTATTCAGTTTGAAAAAATAAATTACTGAAAATGTCCAATTACTGGCACAAGGACATGAAGATTCTGCACGACCTGAAAAATAAATGTAGCATATAGGTCTGCATGTTTTAAGCCCAAATTAGTGAAACCCCGTTTGATTAGAAAACTTAAAATATGGCTAAAGTACTTTATAAGGTTTACTTTTTAATCCTTGCTCAACGAAAGACACTCAAGAAGAGCATTTAATGACCTTGGCCTAGTCTTTCAGAAGACCACATTGGGGTGGGAGTACTCAGTGGGAGGGGGGTGAACACAAGAGGTCATAGTAATATGTAATATTATCTTACAATTATATAAATGTGACGTCGAAACAAGAAAAGTGAATAATTACAGGTGAACATAGATATGAACAGGCTGAAACAGACAGGAGGACGGATAGATAGATAGATAGATAGATAGATAGATAGATAGATAGATAGATATGAACAGGCTGAGACTGACAGACGAACAGACAGACATAAATAGATAGATACATATGAACGGACTGAGAGACAAATATGAACAAGCTGAGACACACAGCTATATATATATATATATATATATATATATATATATATATATATATATATATGTATTTGGTTGGATAGATGTGAGTTTGTGAATCTGGGTTTCACGCTTTAGCGATCGTCAGATCTATCCAACCAAATATGTTAGCTCTATCTCTGATATTGAGCGCTTTCTAATAAGTTCCGCGCATATAATATATAAATAATTATACATATATATATTTATTTATATTTATATACACTTTTCACACACACACACACACACACACACACACACACACACACACACATATATATATATATATATATATATATATATATGTGTGTGTGTGTGTGTGTGTACATTCTTATGAGTCCCAAATATAGGACGAAACGACCGTCCAGTGTTTTCTACATTCTGTTGAGGTTTCTTCTAGACTCGATGAATTATTTAATTATTATCATATACATATGCTAAAAAGCAGAATGTGTGCGCGTGTGTATGTGTGTGTTCGTTTATATGTTTGATTGGATCTCCTACATTTTTCAACTGATTTCATCCAAATTTGACACAATTACTGCTAATGGTCCTGCGGAGGTTTTGACGGTGCCAAAAATTGATTTAAATCCAATATTTAAATCAATATTAACGATTTTTCATTTTCGGACGCACGTGTGTGTAATTATGTGCGTTCACTGCATACAAGCAGATATGGACAATTTTCATGTCAGAGTTAATAGCGATAGCATAATTAGAAAAAAGTCGGATTTAAGTGCTTATATGGGAATAAGAAAGGACAAGAATGGCCATATTTTGGTTTCGGATGCAAAAGTTATCACAATGAAGGATTCCTGTCGCAGCCGAACTTTACGGTTCAAAAGCCAATCGGATTAGTATTATGAGTCACGCGTGCACTCGAGGATAATAAATCCATCCCATCGGAATACAAAGCCATCTGCCACAACTCACCAAAAACTTCCTAAGGCTCGTGTTCGTATTGAACTTGACAACGTTTAATTGGAAGTGTCTTAGTAATGGCAAAACGGCTGATGCTACCATGGCTGTCCATTGATTCCTTACAATTTTTTCTTCTATTGAGCTGATGAATACCGACAACTTGTGTAATTACATGTCAGTTATGACCTTCCATTCAGAGGAAGTTTACTACCGGGCAACGCCGGGCTTTACTGCTAGTTATATATATATATATATATATATATATATATATATATATAAAGCATGGCTGATGTTAACCTCCAAGAGCGTAACTCGTTACGCCTTCCAGGGATAAGTTTCTCGGCTGGTGGGATGTGTATATGTTGCAGGATTTGCTGCTAAAAAAGTTCGCCAAATCGCGCTAAAAAATTTCTCTCCAGAATTGATATATATTTATATTAGGTCATCCCATAAGCTCTGTCCGAATTTTACCTTTTTTTTTTAAAATGAACGAAATTTAAAGACTATTTTATAATGTCTAATGGAGCTGAACATTATTTTTATGTTTAGATGCATTTAAACTGATCAAATTTTATTTCAGAGAACAATAAAAAAATTTTTGATCAAAACCCTGCTAACATGGAAGTACCCAAGAATCATTTGAGGCACATAATGCTTTATGAGTTCAAGAAAGGAAACTCAGCAGCCGAAGCGGCTAGAAATGTGTGAATGAAAGAACTTTCAGAAGATGGTTTGTAAAATTCAGAGGTGGAGATTTCACCCTTGAAGATGATGACCGAACCGGACGTCCAGTTGAGTTTGATGAAAAACTTCTTGAAGCAGCCCTTGAAGAAAATCCTGCTTTATCAGTTGAGGAATTGGCAGTGGTTCTCAGTTAAAACCATACAACTGTTCATCGTCATCTTCAACAACTTGGAAAAGTTCCTAAACTTGGAAAATGGGTGCCTCATGAATTGTCTGAAAACAACCTCAAATCCCGAGTTGACATCTGCTCTTCTCTCCATTCTCACCAACTTGTTTCACCTTTTTTGGATAGACTTGTGACTGTCGAAGAAAAATGGATCTTTTATCGAAATGTTAAGCGTCGTAGACAGTGGCTTGGTAAAGGGGGAGGACCCCAGCCACAGCCGAGAAAGGAACTTCATGGGCAAAAGGTTTTTCTTTCAATCTGGTGGGATCGCCAAGGAATAATCCAGTTTGAATTCTTACCACCTAATGCAACAATTAATGCTCAAATATACTGTCAGCAATTAGAGCGTTTGAACCAAGCTTCGAGCTAAAAAAGACCTGCTCTAGTGAATCGAAAAGAGGCGATGTTTCATCAGGACTATGCGCGACCCAAAACAGCAAGAATCACGTCACAAAAGATCGAAGAACTTGGTTGGGAGAAAATTCCTCATCCACCTTATTCTCCCGATCTTGCCCCTTCAGACTACCATTTGTTTCGTAGCTTACAGAATCATTTGGAAGAAACAGCTTTTGTAACACAGGAAGAGGTTAAACTGACATTTGTGAGTTCTTCGAATCAAACCAAAAGAATTTTACAGTAATGGAATTAGTATGCTTGTTAATAGATGGAAGGAGGTCATAGATAATCAGGGAAAATACATTGTTGATTGAATCTGTAATTATATATATATATATATATATATATATATTAATCATAAAGAAGTCATTTTTATACAGAATTAATTAGCAATGTTAATGTGATTAATGGCGAAATCACTTCGCTAACAGGTCTTAATGAGACATTAACTTACTATTAATTCTGTGAATAATACGATCCTTATAGTTGAGTTGTTATTAGATGGAAGTAACAAGGTCAAGTACTTTCGACAATTTTAAATTGTCACGTTCGAAGCGCAATTTTCTCATACACTAGCAAACACTAAGACCAAATATGTTTTCTTAAAAAGCGAAAGTTGTTTTCTTAAATTACGCTATTTATTGACAGTTAAATATATATTTTTGGAGCGTGTGATGGCGCGACGCTAGATTTCTTGTTCAAATCGATCAAGTGAGAATTTTGCTTGCATTTTAAAGTGATACATCCATGATATTTTTTGTTATATGTATTTATCAGTTAAAGTGACATGGACTTAAGTATAATCCAATTAGTAGAGTGTTAGTAGTTTTCCACAGAATTTAAGATTCCGAGTATTAAGTACTGCGGATTTGATTTCGTAAAAAATTCCTTTTGATTTCGCCATTAATCACATAAACATTGCTAATTCATTCTTTGAAGATATCTGACTGATATCAGTCAGATATCTTACACCTAGGCCATCGTCGCACGACAGAAAGAAAGGGAATTTTAACCTTTTTCTCTATACAAAATACGCCAGCAGCTCGGAGAACTCAATTCGTACTTGAAGAGTAATGCTTAATAGCAGTAGTAGGCGCTTTTTTTTTTTTTAAAAAAAAAACCTTTCCCCGAAGAGCTGAACCGGATTTCCGCGAGCATATAGACATTCACACACAGAATGTTTCGCTGTATCACAGCTCCTCAGTGTGTCTAGACGTCCGATTGCTTCAAGTCGGATCAAAACCCGACTGATATCTTATCAGTCAGATATATTAACCTTAAGTAGGGAAGATAATTTTAACGTTTTCTCTATACAAAATAAGCCAGCGACTGGGAGAACTCAATTATATATATATATATATATATATATATATATATATATATATATATATATATATATTTACAATAAACGTGCAATCAATTTTACAAATTCATGAATTATTCATACAAAAACAAATACAAAGGTTAATGATTTAATTGGCGAGAAATCCATCGTCGCAAACAATTCAAATAATAACAAAACCTCCGAATCCGTTAAAATAAAATGATCCTTGTTTCTATAAATTTCTGCCGTAACAAGGATTATTTTTACTACAAGAACATAATCTATTCCATACCTGTAGATGTCTGTTTGAACAGTTTAAATACGATGGTAAAATAACAATTAAATCATTAACCTTGCATTTGTTTTTTGTGTGAATAATTCATGAATATATATATATATATATATATATATATATATATATATATATATATATAAAAAAGTGTGTGTATATATATATATATATATATATATATAATTATTTATATATTATATGGGCGGTACTTATTAGAAAGCGCTCAATATCAGAGATAGAGCTAACATACGAGCGAGTCTGTATCGTCTGAATAGATGTAATCCGAAATATGTTTTAGAAATGTGTTATTGTTAAATTTTTTGGAGCGTTCGGTCGCAACGCTGAGGTTGAATCTTTTTAAATTTTAAGATTGTGCGTTTTTGTACTAAAATCTTACAATTAACTATAACACATTTCTAAAAACATATATCGGATTACATCTATTCTTTCGTTGTCCTGTTATTACTGAGAAGTAAAAAACAAAAACAAATCTATTTCCATACCTGATGATGTCTGTAGGAACATATGAAAGTTTGTAAAAAAATAAAAAAGCCCTTATGCAACTGGAATTTATAAACAGGGATCATAACATTCATCTACAGGTTCGGGGTTAATGTAATTAATTAAATTTATTTGCGAAGATGGATTCTCGCCATTTATATCATTAACTTCTATATTTGTTTTTTGAATGAATGATTCATGTAATGTAAATTAAACTGCACCACATACTTGATATATATATATATATATATGTGTGCGTGTGTGTGTGTGTGTGTGTTTTGCCACTACAAGCTAACTATCTCTGAGGATCTTTAAGGAAAAATGTATGAAAAACACGTTCGAGGTTTTTTTTTGCTTGTAGGCGGAAATAAGCAAATATATTTGGGTGTAGAGGGCAATGTTCTACATTGTATTCAAAATTCCGTCTTGCCATTGAGTTTGGCTCATCTTTTATTTCTTGTTTTTTTTTCTTATCTTTTTGGCGAGTGGTAGAGTGGGTCGTGGCATGACTCTTTCAGGTTAAAGACGGCAAATGAAACGAGAACTGGCGCACGATAGCAAAATCGAGCCTCACCATGTGGACCGTTTTTTTTTTACCTTACGGCAGTT